CCCAAGTTGCTTATTATCAAGGTGTTTTATCACAGTAATAGAAATGGAACTAGAACAGAGATTAATCCTTATTGTTGCACGTAGTTGTAGATCATTCTTATTGCATATATGTCCTTGTGTAAATACAGCACAATTCATTTATACCTTCTAAAAGTACTACTAATATAACCAGCCAAGGCAATCTAAATTCCACTGTTTGAATCCCTGAGGCTAAATTTCTGAGGCTTAGCAATGTTTTTTTTTTTGGGGGGGGGGGCGGGGGAGGAGTTATGCTACCCTTCCTCAGGCTGTTTATCCCTTCAGCAACAAAAACAATTCTAGCTCACATTGCTAACTTGAAGTTGTACTGTTAGTCTAGTAAGTTCTCCTGCCTCAGAGTACTAAGCACTGGAAATTCAGAATGGCTCCATATGTAAAGCATGTTTGATTTCAAAGGCTTCATATGAAAAACAACTCAGTAAGTTTTATATTGATTACTTGTTAAGATAATGATTCAATATTATATAGAGTATACTTCTGGCATTAACTTCACCAACTTGCTCAGCTTTTTAAATGTGACTATTAGAAAATAGTCACAATGTAAAATTGGGGAAAGAGAAATGGCTCAGAGGATAAAGGCCCATGTTGTTCAACCTGATAACATGGTGGAAAGAGAGAACTGACTCCCACAGGCTGTCCTCCGGTCTCCACATGGGCTCCATGGCATACATGTGCACATATACACAAATGTATAAACGAATGTAAAAGAAATTTTATAATTAGAAAAGTTGCTGTTGTTAAGATTTTATTGATCTAGATCACTGTCTTACACAAGTAACTTGGTAAAACATAGAATGTTAAGTCAAAAAATTCCCCAAGTTCTGTTAAAATCACTCTATGAAAGCCCAGGCATGCACTTTAGACAAAGTGTGTAGATGCCCAATCTCCAACAGTGCCCATTTCCCTTTTAGCCATGAGAAGTTTGGTCCAACTCATGCCAGCTTCAGAATGGGCCCTGCTCACATGGCCTAGACAGCTGAAGAGTATAGGTATTGTGTTAAGTACAAAGGTGGTATGCTTTAATTAAAAGAATGACAAGCGTGTTGATTACAGATGTGGGATGAGTATGGCAGACTCCACATTGCCAATCTCTCTAGGCAAAGTCCTTTTTGCTTCACTTGACCCTGCTTGTAGCTGTTAGTTCCTCTGGGAATGTCGCAGCTAAAGTTCAAACAACTGATTTATGACTATATAATTTACATGGGGTCACTTTAGAGTCCAGTTGAATAATGAAAGTGTTCGCTGAGGGATGGTTTTTAGCCTTGTGTTTGGGTGTTTACGTCCATAGTTATCATGTCAAGTCAATCCCAAACTTACAAATTGAGATGGTCACAAGTCTGACCTCAGTAGATTAAAGATGAGCTTTGGGAAAGAAGAGAAAACACAGAGAATAAGAGAAATTTTAAGAGAGAATATGACTCCCAGTGACTTTCCTGATTGTATTCACAGGTCAGATTTTAGCCTACTATACTGAATTTTTTTCTAATATGGTAGAGGTAGGAACCATTGAGTATTTCTCTGGGCAGGCCAACTTTCTGGCACATTTGCATTTTAATGTTTGTTACATATGTATTATTATTCTCTAATACCATTATAAATCATTGCTGACAGACATATCTTTTATCTCTAAAAGACAGCATGAGTCTTTTACCACTGAAATATCTCCACAGCAATACTGCAAGCCTTTTAAATGGCTAAAATATTTTTTTTTGTATTTTAAGTGCATTTATTTTATTTATTTTATTTTTTTATTAAGAATTTTTATTCATTTTACATACCAATCAAAGATCCCCCTCTTCCCTCCTCCAGCCCCTCCAGCTGCTCCCTCCCAGCCCACCCCCCATTCCCTCCTATAAGAAGGCAAGGCCTCCCATGGGGAGGTACGTTCAGTAGAGGCATGTCCAAGTCCCTCCCCCTGCATCAAGGTTGTGCAAGTTGTCCCACCATAGGTAGTGGGCTCCAAAAAGCCAGCTCATGCACCAGGGATGGATTCTGAACCTACTGCTAGGGGGCCCCTTAAGCAGATCAAGCTACACAACTGTTTCACTATGCAGAGGGCCTAGTCTAGTCCCATGCAGACTCCACAGCTATTGATCTAAATTTCATGAGTTCCCATTAGTTTGGTTTTGTTATCTCTGTAGGTTTCCCCATCATAATCTTGATGCCCCTTGCTCATAGAATCCCTCTTCTCTCTCTTTGACTGGAATCCTTGAGCTTGGCCTGGTGTTTGGCTGTGGATCTCTGCATCTGCTTCCATCAGTTACTGGAGAAAGGCTCTATGAAGACGGTTATGTTATTCACTGATCTGATCACTGGGGTAAGCCAGTTCAGGCACCCTCTCCACTATTGCTAGTAATCTAAGCTGGGGTCATCCTTGGGGATTCCTGGGAACTTCCCTAGCACCCAGTTTCTCCCTATCCCCATGATGTCTCCCTCTATCATGGTATCTCTTTCATTGCTTTCCCACTCCATCCCTGTTACAGCTCAACCATCCCATTCCTTTATGTTCTCATCCCCCATCCCCTATTCTCCATTGCACATCCCTCATCCCCAGTTTACTCATGGAGATCTCTCTATTTCTCCTTCCCATGACTATCCATGTATCCCTCTTTGGGTCTTCCTTATTAGCTAGCTTCTCTGGAGCTGTTGGTTGTAGTGTGGTTATCCTTTGCTTTACATCTAGTATCCACTTATGAGTGAGTACATACCATTTTTGTCCTTCTGAGTCTGGGTTACCTCACTGCTGTGGGATGTTCTGTATGGCAAATGTGTTGCTCTGATTGGTTAGTAAATAAAACACTGATTGGCCAGTAGTCAGGCAGGAGGAAGTGTAGACGGGACAAGGAGAAGAATAATTCTGGGAAATGGAAGGCTGAGTCAGAGACACTGCCAGCTGCCACCATGACAAGCCACATGTGAAGATGCCGGTAAGCCATGAGCCACATGGCAAGATATAGATTTATAGAAATGGGTTAATTTAAGATATAAGAACAGTTGTCAAGAAGCCTGCCACAGCCATACAGTTTGTAAGCAATATAAGTCTCTGTGTTTACTTGGTTGGGTCTGAGCAGCTGTGGGACTGGCAGGTGAGAGATATTTGTCCTGACTATGGGCCAGGCAGGAAAACTCTAGCTATACCTCACTCAGGATGTTATTTTCTAGTTCCATCCATTTGCCTGCAAATTTCATGATGTCATTGTTTTTCATTGCTGAGTAGTACTCCATTATTTATATGTACCACATTTAAAAAATCCATTCTTCAGTTTAGGGGTATCTAGATTGTTTCCAGTTTCTGGCTATTATGAATAATACTGCTATGAACATAGTTGAGCATGTGTCCTTGTGGTATAAAGGAGCATTCCTTGGGTATATGCCCAAGAGTGGTATAGCTGGGTCTTGAGGTAGATCAAGTCCCAATTTTCTGAGAAACCACCATACTGATTTCCACAGTGGCTGTACCAGTTTGCACTCCTACCTAGCAGTGGAGGAGTGTTCCCCTTGCTCCACATCTTCTCCAGCATACGCTGTTACCAGTGTTTTTGATCTTAGCCATTCTGACAGGTGTAAGATGGTATCTCAGAGTTGTTTTGATTTGCATTTCCCTGATGACTAAGGATGTTGAGCAATTCCTTAAATGTCCTTCAGTGGCTAAATATTTATAGAAATATGTCTGTCCTCTTGGGTTTTGGATTATATTATACTTCAAATTCCCAATTGCTCAGGGCACAGAGGCTCATGTGTATAATCCTAGCACTCAGAAAGCTAAAGCAGGACAATCACCATGAGGTTTGAGTCAAGCTTGGTCTACAGAGTGAGACCTTGTCTCAGTGTAAAACAAAACAACAAACCCTACGTGCCTTAATCCTTAATTAAAACTGAAGTAATTTAGATAATGACAATGATATTATCACAGATCTATATTGTAACCACATTTAAATGATAAATAAATATTTGTTGCTATGTATTTGTTACATAAATAGAAATAAGTATCCAAATTCCTCAAAATATAGTTTACTAGGATTTGAAGTGGGAAATTATGAATTAGGAATCACATGCATACAAATATATCTAAGGGGCAAAGTCAAGGACTTCTTTCTAAATACCTTCAGAAGAAGGAGGAAAACCCTGCTGATTTCAGAAAGAATTAAAAATTGAACAGGCTCTAGAGTTTTCATCAGGAAATGATCTCGTTTTAGAATCTCCATTATTTTTTAAGCTACTTTTGGGGACTGTTTTAGAAATAGCCTCGGCTTCTGTGGAATTATCCTGTAAGTCCAGGACTGACTAACGTCTCTTCTGTGAACACTGGGTCCCTCTCACAAAGTCGGCCCATTCAAGATCTTATGTAATCCCGAGGAATATAGGGCAGGACTGCAGTGCAAGAATGAGATGAGAGGGACAGATGTCCTAGGTGGTCCTTCGTGCTTGTCTCCCACAGGGCAGCCTGCTGTACTGCCAGAGTCCGTGCCCAGGACCTCTGAAGACAGCAAGCCAAGGACGCGCAAGTGACAGTCAACAAAATTCCACAAGTGCGGTGGGAAGGAGGCCTAGAAATCTAGGCATCCAGCCCCTCTCGCTGAAGTGTCTAGGGTAGCAAGCAGGAAGTGGTTTGCTCCTTGCTGGTCCAGCATGCAGGATCGAGAAAGCAGGCAACAGGGGAGGCGGGGAAACTCACAGCACAGCTCATAAGCTCCCGCCCTGGGGACTGAAGGTAATGTTTAGTGAGGAGAGGCAGGAGCTTTCATGGGTCTCAGCCTGTTTTTAAAGAGCCACGCCTGTGAAAGCCTCTGCAGGCATTTTCAGACCCAGCGGGGCTGTCTTGAGGGGCAGGGGATGCTCCTTTTCTCTTAAGCCTACAACGACTGACAAGGTGTTTTTCACAGAAAATAATCTGTAACTTTGTGAAAAAAAAAAAAAAAAACAAAGAACAAAAACAAAACACGACTATGGCACAAAGGACTCAGGTTTTATTAGTTTATAATTTCCACACTTTTGGCACCCAGAGGGACCCGAGTCTACTTGTGTTACCGTTCGATGTCATGTATATCAATGTCATGTCATGCAGATATGTCACGCATATCCAGGCATACCATGAAAAACTCATCAGAAGAGGGGAGTCATGAACTTCCAGCAGCCATGAGGGAGTATTTCTGTTTTTATCTGCAAATCGATACTATTGTCTGATTCTGCCATAAAATATCCAGTCAAAACTATCCCTGCCCTGTTCTTAGATCAGCAGCATCTGTGAGGTTTGATTGAAGAGACTGAATTTCTGCATCTACCCAGGTACCTGCTCTACCTTGTTCCCACACATGGATCTTTCCCTGCATCCCAAATCTCCAACCCCATGTTCTCTGAAGCAGAGGATTTTCCAATGTGGCACTATGGACATTTGGGGCACAGGAAGTGGAGCTATGCACTGTCCAGCATATTGTAAGGTGTTTTGGGACAAGCCTGATGTCACTTTCCACCTGATGTCAAGAACTGTTGCTCACAGTCATGATGATCAATTGTGTTTTCAAATGTTGCCTTGCTCGAGATAATTGCATTAGTATGTCCCTTCTGCAGGCCCGGACTGCACCCTTGATCCATGGTCTATCTTTGCATAGACAGTGCTTGATTCTTGCCTGTGCTGTACTTTGAGAAAGTCTAGAACAACCACACAGACATGGTAGGTTTGTGCAGTAAAGAATTTAACAACTTCCTTTCCTAGTCTGCAGCCATTGTGCTTTTCTGTGATGTGTGGAGTTTCTCTGATTGAGGTTGCTCACACCGAGGACAAGAAGAGTTCCATAGAGCTAGAGACTATCAAAGAAAGTGGAGCATCCCTTCTCATGGGTTTCCTTTCTTTTCTGTTAGTGACAAAGTGTTTCTTAAGAAGGCTGAGCTATAGTCCTCAGTCAACTGAGAGGGGACTTTGCATCTCAGAATCCACATGCTGGTCTTCAGGCTGCCTCACTTCTTCCCTGATGGTAAATCAGGTCCCTCCTAGAGGATCCTAGAGATAGATTTAGTATAAGCAAAACAACAGGAACTGCCCCTCCTACATACCCGCAATGTGATAGATTGCAAATGTGTCACACACCAGATAAGGACTGTGTTGCTTTGTCAAAGCAGTGTTGTCTTCAGCCATTCCTTTTCTAGCTAACTCCTTCAGTGAGAACATCAAGTTCATAAGCCAATGCAGCTAGAGAAGAGGGTGTGTGGGAACAGGAAAGGAGTGGGAGAAGCATTTTGTAATTTATTAAAGTAAGAGTAACAGCACCTCTCTTTTTGATACAAAAACAAAAGGCAAAACATAGATACAGATTTAAATCCCTGCCTGCATCTTCTGGACAGGTTCCCAGCAGTAGCGATGCACTGTGGGGAGTCTTTAACTTCAGTGTTTAAACTCAAATCCACAAGAGCTGATCTAGGTGAGCAGGTATGCAGACAAGGAAAAAAAGAATCTCAGCAGCAGTATCTTTCTCTCCCTCTCTCCTTAATGTCTTCCTTGCATGCTGAATCGGAGCTTCAGTGTTCATAGAGAACTTTCTGGGGGCATTCCAGGTGAGTCTAGTGAATAAATGGTAGGACAGAGAAACACCCACTGCTCCAGAGAGGGGGGGAAAGAAATCTTCTTTGTAAGACAGCTCAATCTGTTTGCATAGCTCAGTGCTTCTCCTGGGAAAGGGCTTCTAGCAGGGAGGGTTACGGAGAAGCCGTCAAGGGGTCAGGAAGACTGTGCCCAGAGGGCACCTCATGCAGCTGTTTGATGGTGCCATATCCAAAGAAGGTAGTCTGAACTGAACTGTCACTAGCTCGGGTTCCCCTTGGATCTTACCTTGTGGCTCTTCGGATGTGAGGGGAGATATTAGATTCTTACTGGAGAACTGGAAGCCGTGGTATACCTCTGAAGTTTGACAGATGTTAACAGATCGAATAGCAGCTGCCTTTAACTTTTCTGGAAGACCATTTCTTTCACATCAAGTATTCTAAATATCAATGCCATGGAGCCATCCCACACTGCATGGGATTTATAGCCCCTTGAAATAAAAAGCACACATCATCTTGAATCTGTTTCCATACTTTTTGTAAGATTCTCCAGGGCGTCCATAATGGATGACAGGTTAAGAATCACCTCTTTAGAAAGAGTCTGGTTTTTGTCTGTGTCTGGGGCTGGGGAAAAGACTGGGTGTATGTGTATGAGTTAATGGTTTGAATTTTCTAAGATGAAGAGTTTAATTTTTGTTTCCCTAGGAGACATTTTTTTTTCTAACATTGGGCCAATTTAGGGTCGAAGATCTCCAGAGACTTAATCCTTTACTGTACTATGTCTTGCAGAAAGTTGTTTTGTTGGAATTAAAAGGTATCATCCCACAAAAGATGATGCTGGACTGAGAAAGGACTTCTAGGGGAGAAAATGAGAGAAAGTTAAATACTTGGGGACATGGAGTCAAACTGTACATTTCTTCAAATACATCCAGGGCAGTTGATTGCCTTCCGGTTTGGTGTTATGGTTGCCGCTCATCTCGTGCTTCCTGAGAGAGGAATATGCATGGAAAATGATGCCTAGGAGCAAGGCCTGAAGAGCCGAAGTGTCTTAGTTGCTCAGGGACCTTTCCCTGCTGGCCCTAATATATTGTCCTCATATTTTTTGCTCCTCTTCCTTGATTTATTTTTCATTTCCTAATATACCACTATCTTCCTCATTCTATATTTCACTTATTCCCATGCAACCTAGTAGAATTTTGCCTTTGCTAGAGCATAGGTTCTGTGAAAACAGTAATGTTTTTCTTTTTTTGTCTTGTGATCAAGCTATACAGTACACAGAATAATGTCCAGCCTATTGTAAACACCCTGTAAACAGTCTTTGAATGTGAGAGTTGAACTGCATGGACAACTTAATGGGATTTATAATCACCTGGGAGACACACCTGTGGACATGTCTATGAAGGTATTTCTGGGGAGACTTAACTGAAAAGGGGAGCCCCTGAAATGTTGGAATTGCTGACATAGGGACGTGGATCCCAGTCTAAGAAAGAAACAAAGAAAGAAACCACGTGAACATCAGCATTCACCTCCCCCTCTGCTCTTGGGCCACGGTAACAACATAAGCAGCTGCTTCACACTCATGCCACCCTTCCTGCTGTGCCATGATGGACTCTGCTCTCACACCAAAATGTGAACCAAAGTGAACTCTTCTTCTCTCCAGCTCTTTGTTACAGCAATGAGGTGAGTAGCGAATACATTGAGCAATAGCAAGAGATTCAGGCATAAAATTTTCTTTTAATAGTGTCATGTGACCTCCTGCCCTACTTCCACTTCTGTTAGAATATTTTATTGATTATAGTTGCTCTAATAAAATACTCCAATTAAGAGGAAGTTAAAGGAGGAAGGTGTTTATTTGTCTCAGAATTCCAGCTTACAGTTCATAACTGTAGGGAAGTCACAGTGGCAGGAACTTGAAGGAGCATGTCACAGCACATCCAAAGTGAAGAGCCAAGAGAAACAAAGGTGTCCATGTTGACTTTCTGGTATGCTCAGATAGCTTTCTTCACTCTTCAGCAGTTCAGGGTTCAGCTCATTAAATAGTGTTGTTCACATCTAGGGTGGGTCTTCCTACCTCAACTATCAACCAAACAATGCTGCCCACCCCCCTCCAAGACCACACAGGTCAACCTGACCGAGATAATTCCTCACTGAGACTCCCTTCTCCAGGGACATTGGTTGTGTCAAGTTAACAGTTAAAATGAACCAGCACAGCTGCCAATCCTATGATGCATTTCTCACACACACTAGTCAATCAGGCTGGCATACGGGGTCCTAAAGCCTTTGGCCTTGCATCTATCAAAGCACTTGGCACCACCATGCCAAGTGCTTTATATCAGATGTTCTTCCCATGTTAAGATTTTGGAAGAATGACTATGATGTTTAATGTGAATGATGAACCGGGGCATATGGCAGAGGTTTAATGAAATCACAATATACTCTAAGGGCAAGTACTGGACATCCAACCTCAGGATAAGAAATTTCTCCACAAAAATGAGCGCATCCCCATTTGAAGTGCTCAGAGGAATCCCCTGGAGGGTGGCTATGCAGGATGGAGAAGAAGCAATGGTCTCTGAAGAAACCTCTCAGAGAAGAATTAGGTAAGATAAGAGCCTTGGATCAGGCTCAGAGGAAAGTGCTGACAAGGGGCAGAATGAGACTATAAAGTGGGACAGAAGCCAGGGAGAGGTGGCATTGAAAACATTCAGTGGATCTAAACTACTGTGTACTCAGTTTCTGAATTAAGGCAAGTAACTTAGGGTAAGAACCTTAAGAAAAATGGGCACAGTGCTGGATTGACTGTACAACAGCCGTGGGTTTCCATAGTGTGTCAACATTCCACACAGGAGCGTCTATACTTCATTCTTCTCGTTGAAAAAGCTATCATTCACCCCTGCCCAACTGTATGATGTCTAGAATTCTCTGCTTTGGTGTGATCAAAGAGACAGGGGACCTAGAAAGGTTAATTTTTCAGGTTCCAATCTTATCCTTTTCAGACCTTGAGACTGGCTAGAACAAGAACACAAGCCAGGGCACGCTTAACCACCTTCTCCCCAGCCTTTCAGTCTTCCAAAACTGATTTATTTTAGCCAAAATTTCATGGTGATTTTGTTGTAGATCACACCCACGATCAGCATATCCACTTTCCCCCACTCTTCTCATCATCATTATTTATATCTTTACAAATGTCATTTCCTTTAGAAATATGAAACTGTCCATCACTTTCATCTATAAAATTGTCATCTGTACTCTAAAAAACTAACACTTCTTATTCCACAGTCTTAGAAAAAAAATGTCCACCTACCAAGAGCTGATAGAGTATTAAAATAAAAAGCTCAGCACGTCAATCAAGAAGTTTCTGGCCCAATACAGGTTTGTGTATTTTTCCCCCTTCCATTACCTTCTTTTAAGCTCTCTCTTTTTCATTAAATGGCAATGCCAAAAAACGTCAGGGGCATGCTGTGCCTGTCACTGTGGCTGATAGATCAGATGAAAGCCAGTATTAATCATCTTGCCTGATTTTGGAGTCTATTAATTTTCCAAGAACAGTGGCTCAATGATACAAGCCCTTTATTCTGCGATCTCATGCAATGTCACTTTCCTTTCCTCTTGTTACAGTAAACCTTGGAAAATGTTAGTTACATAAAACCATTTTAAAGCAACCCCCTACTTTTCCACCGGCCAATTAGATGAAAATACCGTTTACAAAAACTGTGCTTGGCTTCTCTTTCCCTTAGGAATCTTTCAGATGCAGCTCATGCTCTTAAGTCTAGGCCCAACAATTAGCAACATCCTTGAGTCAATTTCCTCCTCATTAGAAACAGTTTTTATGGAGAATGGACTATGATCCATTCTCAAGACTCGGGATGACTGTTTTTGGAAAGAAGTTTTGTTTTGTTGGTGTTGTTTGTTTCATTTTCTCATTTTACAAAGTTCTCCCAAATTCTGATGCTATGAATTTGCTCTATCCTCAAGAGAGCAACCCTCATTAAACTCATTGGGTCATAACAAGAAAAGACTTGAAAGCATAAGGAAGACTTCTGGAGGAAAAGGGTTCAGTAGGAGTGGGAGAAGAATTGGACAAGGTAATGGAGGATGAATATGATCAAAATGCATTTTATACCTGTATGATATCATTTAAGAATAAATAAAATAGTGAAAGTGAGAAAACTACTTTGAAAATGCAATCTCCATGGTAGACCCTCAATAAATATTATTCAATGAATTGCTGAAGCCGAGGATAAGGCAAAGTCTATGTCTTGGCCCTGATCTGGAGAGGGAATAGGGTAGTGCAAACCCTAGGAATGTGACCAGTGGGGATTCACTATCTGTTGACTTAAGCCCCTGCACAAATGGGTCCACTCTGGGTCCATGTAAAGCCTCATTTCTGGGTTTTGTCAGTATTCTCTAGTAATGGAATTTATAACCTTGGCTTGACTTCAGATAAATATCATTAAGTTAAACATTGAACTGTGGAGAGTTAGAAAAACATGAGTTGAATATTTGTTCATCATAAGATGAATACAGGGCTTTGAGAGATGGCTTAGTGGTAAAGACCACTTGCTGATCTTCCAGATGTCCCAGGTTCTATTCTCAGCAACCACATTGCAGCTCACAATGGTCTGAACTCCAGTCCCAGAGGATCCAACACCTTCTTCTGGTATCTTTGGGAACTGCACACACACGGTGCACAGACTTCCATGCAGAAAAATGGCCATACACATAAGATTTTGAAACAACAACAACAACAACAAAAACAGAACTAAATAAGAACTTGAAAAAGAAATCAGGGCTTTTCGAGTGGGATTTAAAATTCCCTGTACATCTAATGCTATATAATGCAAATTTCTTCAAAGTAAGGCAATTCCTTTCATGTTTATCTAATGCAACAAATAGTTGCTTTGACTATACTGCAAGTTCATCGTTTTGTCAAAGTGACCAAGTGGTGGAAGGCCAAAGATAATTTTACAGAGTACCAGATTCTCCCTTCCATCTCCCTCTGCTTCTTCCTTTAATGTTATGTTTAAAGCTGGGTTCTATTTTCAGTCTGTGGGAGTGGGGGAAAGTGTAAAAGACACTTTTTACACTTAACATCTGTAGCAATGGACAGAAGAATGAATAATAATAGGAAGCGTCAACATACCATCTGGTATAAACACAGATGTGTGTTTTCTTTAAATACAAGAACCTAGCACTCTAAAAAGGGAAGACCTATAAGACAGAAAATCAAGAACCCATTCTTGAGTGGCTCTCCACTAACAAGAAGCAATCTTCCCTATTTGTTGTTAATTTATTTATGGAACTGAAGTGGTAAGTACTGCTCATTTGTTGTGCACACTATGAATGCCACGGTCACAGTGCTCATCGGTATCAAAGATGATACTGGGTGGTTTCTTTAATATCAGTTTTACCTGTTCATAACCAGGCACAGCAGACAAGACTCAAGACATTCTATGCTTCATCCAACATCTTGTCATGGAGTATGTAAGCTTCAAAGAAAAAAGCCCAAGAATAAATGGGAGGCATTAGATATATTTTATTAAGTGTATAATATTTAAATTTGGTATTTAAATTGGTTCATGTATTTCTTATGTACATAGTACATGCACTTGAGCACAAGGCATGGTGAGCATGTGGAGAGCAGAGGACAACCGGCAGGAGTGCACTCTTTCCTTCTACTGTATGGTTTCAGGAGATTAAGCCTGTGTCACAAGGCTTGGTGACAAGTGCTTTTATGTGCTGAGTCAGCCCCTTAAGCATATAATTTTAATCCTTAACTACAGAATAATCTCTCACAGGAATATTG